TCTGCGTCCAAAGACAATTTGACCTTCGAGCCCTCACATTCTCAATTGTGGCCCTGACTTTGTCCTTCTTTCGAACAATCGAAGCGCCCTGGACAAAACCATGTTCTCTCACCAGCACGGCCTCATCCTTCAGCTTCCCAAACTCATCGTACTCACGGAACCTCAAGCTTTGACAAAGACTTGCGACGGCAGTTTCTATCAAATGAAAGAGGAGCCTTCAGCTTTGACAAAGAGTTGTGACTGAACAATGCAAGGAATGCACTCTAATGACAGCGTTTTCATATTTGCTCACCAAAGGACACCGTTGTAAACACTTACGCGACGATCGTTTTGTTCCAATCATTCGACAAAAAATGCTAAATGAAACTCTTGCTGAAACTGTCCGGTCGGCGAAGCTGCTGAGGGACCCGCGCTTCCTGCAGGAGGTGCACTGGAACTGGCCTTCCTATGATCATCGAACTCGGTGGAAAGCCGCGTGCCGAGAAGCTCCTCAAGTTCATCCATCAACTCACACACCACGGATTCTGGAGTAGCCTTGACCTTCTCCAAGGCTTGCAACACCAGAGAGTCTTGGAAGGCTTCGTACTTTTCCTGTACATCAGTGCCCTTATCCTTGACATCAGCCTTCTTCAACATCTTCGAGATCTTGGTAGACATCTCTTCTGCGGTGGTGAGTTTCGGGCTGAAATCCTTCGACAGCATGCGCCGACAATCGCTGGCCTGCACCCTGTCTGATGTGTAGGCCAGAGCCAGCAGCATATGCCGAAACAAAAGACCCTGCACCTTCCAATCTTTGGAGTTCCCACTCAAGGCCATGTAAAAGTCTGCGCCCAAAGATTTCTTTGAGCTCACACTCTTCTTGATTCTTTCCTCGACCTTTCCCAAGAGCTCCTTGTGCATGAATCTCAGGAGGAATTGGTACATGTATGGTGTGGTGTCGATGCAAGCCGGTTTGGTTCTGCAGATCTCCTTCCGAACCTGGCTCCACTCTGGAGGAGGGGTGGACCTGTCAATCAGGCTCTTCATGCGAAGCAAGATTTGCCATTCACGCTCTCCCATTTGTAAATGGCCACTGGTGTTGGAAGCTGATTGGATCAATTGGGCCACGCCATCTATCTCCAGAGCTTCTCTCGCAATCACCCTCCAAACCATGCCCTCCTGCGCAGCCTTGAAAAACTGTGGGTCATGGCTCTTGGCCCTGGCCATAGAGAGCCTGCCCTCAAGCACCAGCGCACACTCTGTCCCAATGTGTGCAACTTCATGGGCCAAACATCGTAAGGCAGCATTCGTATGTGAGTTTGCCAACGATGCATACCGCATTTGGGTTGCTTGGACAGGCGGCAGGAGGCCCCGAGAACTCGTCACCAAGGCTTCATTGAATCCTAGCACCATGGCATGATCTGGATCTGAAATTTCCCCACAAATTGGATTCGTCTCTCTCGAGTCCCACCCAACCTCCGACAAACCGTCCACAAGTGCATGGACGTCATGGGGTGACAAACCAAATCCGTCCCTGTTCATGGGGTGGCACCCCACTTCATCAGGTCTCAACTGTGTGGTGCGGACCAGACCGTGCTTGGCCAGCACATTCATGAGCTTGTGCATCGCTTGCACAAGTTGCCCATCTTGGGCCTGCGTGACACTGGCCTGGATCTCACTCAGTGCCTCCGTGCTCACAACCATGGTTCACACAATGAGCGTTCCTTGCAACTCTTTGATCCCAAAACTATAAGTCGGCGAGCTGCAAACGCATGCCCTGCACTCATGCAAAGGTTGCGAGTGTTTGTCCAACACCCTGCGTTCATTGTCTTCAACGTTTCCGTTCAAAATGAAACTGTTTGATGCCCTGTCAAATGCAACCCAATCCACGTTTCAGGACGTTTTCTTTCAAAACTACAGGACTTCTTGCACGAGCAAACGGTTTCGCAACTGTGGCAATCAAATGAGGACATGTGCATATATATATATAGGATTTAGAAAATGACATCTTCCCTAAGACATTCTTCAAGCAAGTCAGGACAGAAAAGAATCAAGCAAGTTGGAAGGCGCGCCTCATCAATCTCGATGTCGCCAACGTTCACGAACCAGTGGGTGCATTGGGCCGGCGATCGGTGTGGAGTGCACGGTTTCATGACCTTGTATATTGTGCACGCTAGAAACACATTGTCAGAGACTTCAAAAATTGAATATGTGTGTCCCAACATTTCCCTATACTGCTAGCAATTCGAAACCTAACTGTACAAAGGTACAGCTCCCCTTTCCATGGAATGAAGCAATCATGCAACCGATCCAGCTTGATATGTTTATGATCGAGCGCGGCCCGGAAATTGAAAAAACCGATCGCGCGCGCCGACAAACACTTTCCACGGCCAGCAAAATCCAAAAAAAACGATCCCACGGACCAAAAAAAACACAATTTTGGCACGGTTATAAACCTACTTATGAGTAGGCCAGAGTCGTTTATCTTTATTGTGTAAACAAGACAGTCACGTGTAGCTAAGTGCGCTAAAACAAGCCAACGCGATTAGCCCACTTCAAGTGAAATGGGCTAAACACTATTTAAAAAAGTATTTTCCATCTAATAAATAGTTAGCAGGTTTGCCAACCATTTATCAAAAACCTAACTTTTTTAGTAAACAGGACAGTGTGGTTGGACATCTTAACCATGTTTATAAATCTGATAACCCATGGTTGCCTCAATTGTAACCATGGTTCCGGCGTTTATGTAAACAGGTTCAATCGAGACAGAGGCTTAGCAACCACGACGGGCATCCAAGTGGTCTTGTCGGATGCAGGAGACCTTTGTGGATTGCCAGGGTCGTTACGGTTGTCCTCCATCCTGCACATTGAGACCTTACTGCTCAGCACATGGGCGGACCACGTGGTTCAACGGGTAGCTATGCGGAAGGGGCTTGAAGGTCTTGAGTCTCTTGACATTGAAGCTTCACGTCCTTCCAGGTCGCCTCTCCCGAGCGAACAGGCGTTGCTCGCTCAGCTTGTGGTTGGCAGGCACTTTACGGCGGACGCTACGAAACATTTTAGTGCTGGTGATGGGACTTGTCCACTTTGCGGTCTCGATCCTGATAACCGTCCCCATCGTGTTTACCACTGTGCTGCTTTGGAACAGTTGCGGAAGCGGGATCCTCTTTTGGCGCAGTGTCTTCGGGAAGTCCCGCAGGTCACGGCGTGCTTTGGCCTGTGGCCTGAGATCGAGGGTTTGCGGGTGTGGCAAGCAGAGCTTGATGCACACGAGTGTGGGACTGTGGAGCGTTGTCGAGTCGAGCAGGCGGCGCTTTTGTTCACAGACGGCTCATGTCTTTTCCCGCAGGATTCTGTGTTGCGTTGGGGTGCCTCCGCTGTTGTCGAATTGGATGAAGTCCATGGGTTTCGTATTGCCTTTAGTGGTTTTCTGCCTACTTCCCAGCAGTCTGTTCCGCGTGCAGAGATCTATGCTGGCTTGGTTGCGGTACAGTTATACACTCGCTTCGTGTTGTTTAGTGATTGTCTGCACTTTGTCCGCAAAGCTTCGTTGTTCACGCAGCGTAAGCGCAATGGCGGTGATTGCCCTTGTCCAGAAAAGAATGGGGATCTTTGGCTTCGGTTTTGGGAGGCGCTCGATGGCGTTGACCTTGAGGCTAGCTCAATTCACTGGATCCCGGCACATCTGGACCCTGCGACGGTTTCAGGTGCGGCTCGTGTTCTTGTTTTAGGCAATGCCTGGGCTGATCAGGTTGCCGAGTCATTACTGCGGACTGCTTACGAGAAGCTTGCTCACTACCGAGCAGTTGTGCAACGTGTTGCATGGCGGCGGCGTTGGAAGCCAATTCTGCAACGTTTCCATCTGGATGCTGCGCAATTTGCCGTGACGCGGAAGATGCCTCCGGTTCGGTCGGAGGCTGGTCGCCCCTTTTCTGTCGAGGTTGGTGAAGTTGAGTGGATTCCTTCTCCTTTGATTGTCCAGGCTGGTTTTCATTTACGTTTTCTGCGTAATTTATCGGGTTGGTTGGCTACACTCCATTGGTCGCTTTCCACAGTTGATGAGGAGTGTTGGGAGATTTCTTGGCTGGAACTATTCTGGCAGTGGGTTTCTGACTCCGGCACCCTTCCGCCTGTGTTGGTTGATGGTAGATGGGTTGATTCGTTGGACGCTCCGGACGTTGTGTGTTGTCTGCCTTGTGTGCGTGTTCTGTTTGCTACTTGGCGGCGCGGTGTCAGGTGTCTGCGGGGTTTGTTGCCGGGTTGGGGCAATGTTTCTGCGACGGACTCTGGTGTGGCTTTGGGTTCTGCCTTCGCGTTGTCTGGGCGCTCTGGTCGGGTTGCTCTCTCTTCTCGGGTGGCTGCCGACTTGCGGTCTCAGTTTGGGGTGGCGCGTTCGCTCGGCTCGCTCCGTCTGCCACATTTTTGGTCTCCGTGATTGTATTTTAGTGTTGTGTGGCCCGCGAAACTAGGTTGCCACAGAACATGCTCGAGATTCGAGTGAGTGAGAGAATTTAAAAAAAAAACAGTGTGAATTTTCCCTGTTTGACGGACGTTGTGTGCAGCCGAGTTCTGTCCATGGTACATTCTGCTGCCATTTGGGCTTACAGGCCCCTTGAGCTGACCGCGCTGACACACGCGTGAAAACGCCATTGGACGACGCATCTGGGTTCATTCGCAGGAAAAGCCACTTCAATACAATGCCTTCCTTCCAAATCAGGAGGAACGCAAATTCTATTGCCTAAAAGGCTGGGGTGAGAAAACTACTAGTTCATAAAACAATCAATTTGCCCCAATCGGGTCACTTGCATGACATGGGCTCAGTATTGTCTAGCATTCATAGTATTCCCTCACCATTTTTGTTTGGCTTTGCTTCTGCAGAATGACATTGCTTGAGCTAGTGTTCCATTGTACAAGTTCAGATAATTTCACAATCAATTGTTTGAAGGAACATAGTCCCCCGTGATGAAAAAGAAAAGAAACCTTTATGCAAATATCGATGTACACTTCGATGACGCTACAAGGTCACACCACTATGTTGGATTTATCTCGAAGTTTGACACGATGAAGGGCTACGGCTTTGTTTCATGTCTCGAGACGTTCAAGCGCTTCGGGCGCGACATCTTCATCGACCGAGAGTCCTACCAGGCCGCCAGTCCGCGGTCGGGGCAAGACCTGTCCAGTTCAAAACACTTCCAGCAAGAACTTGTGGGCGGCCTGTTCATTGTAGTTTGGCCCCAAGCCTTAGGCCCCAACTGCAGTTTGCTGCACATTCCGTCACATTTGTGACCACACTTTCAAGATGCCAAGTAAGGCCTCCTCTCAACTTCTTATTTTATACGTTATTAAACATCTTTAAACATCTTAAAACTAGTAGTACACTCTTGCTCCTTTGCTGACAAAAGGTTTGGCTCAGATCAGGCCATCCCCAGGATTCAGCATGTTTACCAACGACCCCTCATAAAGGGCTTTAGGTTTTAAGTCAAAATTTTGGACGGCTATACGCGGGTCCTGAAAATGATAAAGCCTTAAGAAGGCAGATAGCATGTTATTTATCAGTTTCGAGCACAGGCATCAGTGTGGGGGCTTATGATGATATTGCGAATGTTGATGCAGTGTTTTTAGTCTCATTTAGCACTTTCTCTCAAAGTAAAGTGGGTTGAAACTTTCAATGACATTGTTTTTCGTCTCATTTAGCACTTTCTCTCAAAGTAAAGTGGGTTGAAACTTTCAATGACATTGTTGTTCGTCTCATTTAGCACTTTCTCTCAAAGTAAAGTGGGTTGAAACTTTCAATGACATTGTTTTTTGTCTCATTTAGCACTCTTTCTCAAAGTAAAGTGGGTTGAAACTTTCAATGACATGTGTTCAAATTGAACACGTGTCATTGAACGTTTCAACCCACTTTACTTTGTTGTTCAATGGAGCTCTATTTAAAAGAAAAAAACAAAACACTGGAAAGACAACATTGCCACACCCAAAGCCACGGAATCCCGATCCAAACAGGAACCCTGTTAAATCACAGAAATTACAGTACAGAAAAGTGTCAGACTTTAGTAAACCACCTCCCAGCCATTAATCACTTCATAGCCCCAGAGCCTTTGCCTAGCATTTCACTCACCCTTTACCAGCGACTGCAGCTGCAAAGCTTTCAGAACTGCGTTTTTTGCGGCCTTGACATGTTCCTCCTTATGTTCCTTGCCATTGTGATGAGCAAGTCAGGGAGCCCGAATTGGCGACACAGTTGTCTTCTCAGTCGGCTTCAATAAGAAGGGAGAGGCACGGAAGACTTCCAGTAAGAGGTTGCAATGGATGAAATGAGAGTCTTATGGGAGCAAAGGGGAACAACGTGAGACAGTCTGTAAATTTGATTCTGCCTAGTCCCACTGCTTGTCGCTTTGACCTAACTTTGGTGGCCACTTACTGTCGCTTCAATTGAGTTTTCAGGTTCGCGCGTGCGATGTTCAGAAGCTGAACGAGGTAACGCGCCTGAAACAGGCGACTTGATTCTGTCACAATATTAGATCATATTAGGATAATATTAGGTATATTTTGCGACTAGGAGTGTTCTGGAAGAGATAGAACATCTTAAAGGCCTGATCTGGCGAAGAGCGCATCAGGAGCTGCAGCAGAAGAAGCAAGTCTACATGACGAGCGTTTCAAGGCGCTTCCATGGCAGGTAGACTTGGGCCTGTAGCTTGAGTGATTTGGCAAGCGGCAAGCAGACTTCCGCACCACAGGTCTGGAATGAATGTGCAGACTGCCTTGGAATTTATTCAAGGCAAAAGTTCTGCTCTCAGATTCCGTTGCACTGTTAGAACGTGTGAAGCTACACTAATTACACCAGAAATAATCTCAAACTTTATTGAGAAGGTGGGTGTGTTTGAACTTGGCAAGTCCGTAGTGATTCTCAATTCTATGAAGGTGCATAGTGTCTTTTGATTTGTCACTTGTGAGCGCCTGTACATCTGACATCGGGCCTGTGATAGCACTGTGCTTGTACAGTGATGTGGGCGCTTTGGGGGTGGTAAGTGCATTTATGGCCTGCATGGTTGTTGCCCAGGATCAGCTCCTGCAGATGTCGCCGGTCCAAGTTTTAAGCGCTTGGCGAGGTGAAAAAATGACCCGCGATCCCGGGAACCAGTGTGTTTTTTTGGTAGTTAGGTAGTTTTCATTTTGGGCCAGAACAGCAAAAGGGACTTGAAAACAGACAGAACAACCAATTTCTTCGCACTTAGCCAAGTGTGACAATGAACACGTAAATCTTGGACGGGAGGGTTGCGCTTGACTTGTGACTTGGCAGAACTTTTTGTCGGTGGTTCCGATGGTCTTATTGAGTTCAAGGCTTACGCCTAAGAGTGGGCCGGGCAGGCAAGAAGGGCAGGTGCAGGCGTAAGTAGAGCAGGTGCAGGTCCTCGGCCTCTCTGCCACTTCCTCGTTCTTTTCCTCTTCCTTTGTCTTTCTCTCTCTCTCTCTCTCTCTTTTCCTTTCACTTTCTCTTCCTCTTTATCTTTCTCTTTCTCTTCCCTTTTCTCTTTCCCTTTTTCTTGTTCTTTTTCTTTCTCTTGCTCTTCCTCTTTCTCTTGCTCTGTCCCGTTCTCTTCCTCTCTGTCTCCTTCTTTCTCTTCCTTTTTCCTTTTCTCTTTTTCTGGAAGAGGAAGAGAAGGAGAGCAAGCAGAAGCTCAAAATGCTCATCCATGAAGTCCTGTGACCGTAACAATGTGAGCCACCTCACACATGACAGAATTCATACAAAATAAAGCTCTTGAGCTGGCTTTGTTGAAAAGAAAGAAATACCTACACAAGAGACGGCAATTCTCTTGAAGTTCTCGCTGCTCCTTCAGGATTTCCACGAATGCCTGGGGGTTTGGACCCACGTATCCACTCAGCTTGTAACCACGTGGACAAGAAACAAACTCCATCAGATGGTTGGGCCCGCGAGCAGCCCGAGTGCTACTGCCGACGCAAAGACCATGGCGCTCGACCTCGACTGTCCAGCCACCACGCCTCAGCAACCTGGAAGTAGTTCCCAAAAAGACAGGCCGGGGCGCAGCCGCCTACCACTGCGGCGCCAGCAGCACCCGCAACAGCGCCCAATGAGGCGCCGTCTGGGATGAAATCATATAACCTTGCTCCGGCAATTGGCAAGCGAATCTTACAGCGGGGCAAGGGGTCCACATACAGGAGCAATTCATCAACGCTTGGCAAGATTCAGTGAACGAAGAGCAAAAGTTGAAGTGAAGCCTGGAAACTTGTGGGGAAGTGGTGGAGACGCTATACTAGGCCTAGGCCCCAAAAGAAGACCTGTTACACCGCAGGGCCGCAGGACCAGGAACAGGGCTGGTTTGCCTATTGGCAAGGCTCAAGCAGTTGATTATGTGGCAAGCGATAAACCGCGACCCGGTCATTCATTTAGTGTTGCAAAGGAACTCCGGACGACAGCACAACTTTCAATTCGAGCTCCACGCCCAAGATGTGCGGAAAATGGCTGCGGCTAAGGCTGGTCATGTCCATGATCGTTGCATCATACTTCGTGAAGTAGAACACAACGCACCTTGTCTCGTCCTGATGTGCGCCGAAGAGCAAAATTCTTGCAAGCCATGAACCCAAGACGGTCTATGAACGTAGTCACCATCACCGAAGACGACGATTCAACATTAAGGTATGGCAACAACAAGGTCAAAGCATGTGCAAGATCAGATCTTGATACGGTGTTCTTCGCAGGCCCGTGCACAGGAGGTTCGGTCACGATCAGCGTGAAAGCAGCAGAACAAGTTGAGAGACATCAACGACTGTGTTGGTTTTGAGAGCGCAGACGTTCTGGATCATGTTTTCTGTCCAGCGATGCGTGCACTCTAATTGAGCTGCTGAGAAGTTGTGCCTATTGGAACGATGATAGGATGAAGCAGATGATCCACGGCACAGAATCTCACACACGGCCAGCATAGTCATTCCAAGGGTTCAGGGACCCGCTTTTGCCGCTGCTTTCCTAGGTGAGGGCCTCCTGCAGCCGCTGCTGACTGGTTACGCCGCAGCTGCAGGTGCCACCTTCACCGCCGACTGCGGCAACGGCTCCATCAGGCGCTCGCCAAGAGCGCCACAGCCTTGAAGCTAGGGGCTGCCACTGCCCAAAGCCGGATGCAGCAGTGGAGCCCTTTGTTTGCAAAGTTATTTTTCACGGTATCTCTTTTTTCGTCGCTCGTTTCGCCAGCACTCAGGCCAGCAACGTCGCTGCCGCGGTCTCAAGGGCAAGTTCGCCTTGCCCCTTCAGGCGGGGGCCACGTTCGCAGCGCTGGCCAACCGAGGTCCTGCTCCTTCTTACCTTCACCCATCCTCTGTCCGTATTCTTCGCGTCGTCAGGTGCTTTCCACGGTGTAGCGGAGCAGCCCTCCTGCACGACGGAGAAACCGCCAAGCGGCAGCTCCGCCGCCTGTCCGTCCACGCGCCTTTCCTATAGTCCTATAGAGTACTTGATGTACCGCGACGTCCAGGCGCCTTCAAACTTCTTCCGTGTCGTCTGCTCCTTTGCTTCGTCGCCGTCTGCAGGTTCTCTTTCCACATCTCCCAGACCCCCCCACGGTCGGCGCCGGCGCCGGCGAGACCTTAACGAAGTCTACTTTGGGCATGGACTTCTCAACTCCAGAGGAGCAGTTACAAGACAAGACGTGCACAGCCACTCCTCTGCATTCTCTTTGCTTCTATTCCTCCCTTCGTCTTTTTCGTGGCTGCGCTGAGATTGGCTGCTGGACGCATTGCAGCCATGGGACCAGCATGTCCAGGGCGTGTGCCCCCGCGGTTGGTCGGTGCATCATGCAGAGCACAACCTGCCGCTTGGCCTTGTGGACACCGCCGTGCCTCTTTTCTCTTCTCCCTTGCTCTCGTTTTTGCTACTGAGGTGTGAGCTCCGACGCTACCAAGCTTTTTGCAAGAACGGCTGCAAAGGCCCGGACTTAAGCAGCGCGCGCGGCTGCGCCTTGGCCGGCTCTGGCGCCGCCTCGGCTTCCGAGCGAAGCCAGGCGCCACTTCCGGTGCCTTGGTTATGGCCGCTGGGTTGTCTGATCCGCTGATCCTCTGATCCGCTGACCCGCTGGTCCGCTGGTCCGCTAGACCGCTGATCCGCTGGTCCGCGGGTCCGCTGATCCGCTGTCCGCCGGTCCGCTGATCTGCTGATCCGCTGATCGCTGGTTCGCTGGTCCGCTGGTCCGCTGATCCGCTGATCCGCCGGTCCGCCGGTCCGCTGGTCCGCTGATCCGCGGATCCGCTGGTCCACCTGATCCACCTGATCCAGTCAAAACGCCTGTGGGCCAGGCCCGCTCGTGTCTAGCCGTGAACAGTAAAGGCCTCATGACCCACAATCATCTTTGAGTCGCCACCTCATGACCTCATTGTCAAAAGATTCAACCACCTATACGTCAACAATGTCAATATAGTCACCGTTCTGACAGCAGGAATGCAGTCATGGAATTCCCTTTTCAAAAGCCGGGCAACTATGTTTGGCAATGTTGAAGGAAAACCCACATAATAACAGCATATACAATACCACGGCTTTTCGGTTGCAGAGGACACGTCGAACCAGAAAGAAGGAGAATGGATGGCCGGCACAGTGCGCAGTTCAACATTCAAGTTCAAATTCGAAAACAAAAAAGGGCCAGCTAGCTGCCAATAGAACCCACAGGAATCCACAGAATCCACAGGGTTCATGTGGCTGGCTCCACATGTCCTCTGGGAACCGCTTCATGAATTCCCTTTTCAAAAGCCGGGCAACTATGTTTGTCGAAGGAAAAGAAAATACACAATAACAGCGTAAACAATACCACGGCTTTTCGGTTGCAGAGGACATCGAACCAGAGGCGCCCACGGGGCTGCGTTTCACGCGGGCCAATCAAGTCTCCATCTCCTGCAAGCTATCGATGGCGTCTGTCCGTTGCGCAATGCTCTCGTTGTGCGTCCAGCACACTTCTGCAGAGAAACCACACGAAGCCATATTGGCTCATGTGCTTGGACGCATGTTTGAATTGTGACAGCCAAGTAAATGTAAATTCGCAGACACTGCTCCAGATTCCTTCCAAGCGTTGCTTGTGACACTCTAACGTAGGCGCGCAGGTTCTTTGCACCACCTGTCTGTGTGACCGGTCATATGGAAAGGGTCGCACACGAAAGCCATCTTGGGAGGAGCGATGCTAGCAGCAGCCTGCGATTCCTTGCCGGGAGAGAGCGCTTGAACAAAACGCATTGTATGTAAAAGCAGCAACCGCATTTTCAAACAAGAAAGCACGTAGGGGCATGTAAAGCATTTTGTACATCACAGTCCTGTTTGCGGCGTTCTGCATATTTCAGCAAATGGCACGCGTCGTCATGGACGCAAAGAACTGCTTCTGGCAGCAGGCACTTAGCTTCTGACAGCGCAAAATATCTTTGCGACAGGCTTTCACAGCCAAATATTTCACGCAGCAAAACAATGAGGCCAGAGGAGGGGCATACGCAGAGGACCCCCGCACTCTTAGCCAGCTGCAGTGGCTCATGTTCTTTGTGGGTGACGCAGGCGACAGCGCTCAAATCTTCAGCGGCTGAGAGGTGTGGGAGCACAGTGACATCCGGAGGCGATTCCACCCGCCTCTTCGCTGCGCCTGCGCTGCCGTCCGAAAAGAGAGATATCACTTGAGTTGTCAGTACATAGTCTCCCATCCCCGCATTGTTATACTGTACGCTATCGGTGTGTCTGTGCTTTTGTTCACAGGCTTTGACTACCAGGGTAGCTTTCATTCAACGAACACACTAGGTTGTCCCATCCCTTTGCACACATAAGATCCACCGTGTGTCAGCAGCCGCTCACCGGTCCCCTCTTCCCGTCCGGACCATTGTGTCCAGCATCGCACGGAGGCTGAGCGCCTCATCCACTCCACCTGCGGCCCCACAGCACCGTTGCAGGCGACCACCGTGTCTGGATTTGGTGCCCTGACCGGTCCTTTTTTCTTTTTCAGGTGCTCAAGCACCAGAAACTTCAGAATGATGGTTTTCCTCTGAACTCTTTGCCGGTCGGTTTCCGACGTCGATGAAGGGAACACTCTGATGAGATGGCGCCTGAGTTTCCTATCATCACTCTAGGCTTCACCGTA